AATATGTAGAAAAGATTATGTGCTCATCACCTGATCAAAAGCCCTACCAGGGAACACAGCACTCAGATAATCCAGATTGGTGACATCCCAATGTCTTTGTGTGGTCCTTGGTTCTGAACACTCTTCTTTTACATGATCATGCGGGGCCATGCAGGGTAATAAAACAGTTTTTATTTTTTTAAAAACGACAATAATTGTATGATGTGTTGTAATATAACATACAGAAACAAATTCAGCTTATGGAACAATACTTCTCCCTAAAATAAATCATTAGTGAGACTTGCTATTCTTTCGGCCAGTTTGCTTATACTTCCTGGGGTCCACATGCTGGAGTGTGAATTGCTTGCTGTGACCTTAGATGAGTTATCATGCCCCTGCATCTCAGTGTTTCCACTCCAAGTTTACCAAGTCATGAGATAAGTCATAAGATTCTAGGCACTCTCTCAACACATCCTAATTTCTTCCTACCCACACCACTCTATTCCACGTTCTATTAACCAAAATCAAGATTCACATACCCCCCCCCAAAAAAAACTACACAAAACTATGTCATATGGGTGAAGAATCTACTTCTCTATATCTGAGACCCCACCTCATTCCCTTCCTTAGAATCTGTGGCTGATCCAGAGACACATGGGCCAATACCACTGTTTTGTTTTTGCAACCTAAGTAGTGAGATGGCTTCTTATATGGCTATTTCAGCGACTGGAAATCGCGAGAGATTACTGACATCACTGCCCAGAGAGTCCACCTCTGCAGAGAGGGTGTGTCTGCTGGTCCGGCTCAGGCTACACACTAGTTTCTAGTCAACTATAAGCAAAGATGGCTCCTGCCAGGAAACCCACAAACTCCTATTCTAGCCGCTGTTCTTCTTATTTAACACATTGTAAAATGCCTTGAATACAGTTTCGGTGAAGTCCACGGGCTTGTAACTGCCTTATTTGTTTCAGATTACATTTAGTTTTACTCAGATTGCTTGTGTGTATCCAGACTTTCCAGGAACTGTCTTAGTATGACCCGGATTTTAAAAGTAATTCATTGTCATCAGGTTTTTACAAAGTATCCAGAAAACCTAGTAATAAAATTTTTTCAAAACTGATAGTAAATTTGCTCTTTAAATGTGATTTATTCATTTGATCCATTTCTAGAAGAGGCTTTCAAATGGAATCTTAACATCTGCACTTTAGCTCATACCAAGAAGAGATTTTTGTTTTCTTTTCAAAGTAATCGGTTTTTATTCCAGAATATGCATGCCTCAGACGGCTCAGTTGCAGTGTTTCCTGGGAGATAAGGAGAGATGGAGGGATTCTTCTCTCTCTTGTCCTGTGATACATACTAGCTGCTTTTGTCATTGTGACAAAGTATCCAACAGAAATCACATAATGGGGGATTGGTTATTTTGGGTCACATTTCAGAGAGATTTTATTCTGTTAAGGGGTGGGGACGCTAGTGGCGGAAGCACCTCCTTCAGATGGTAGTGAATGCATGCAGAGTCCTCAGAGAAACAGACAGGAAACCCTGAGTGCATGCCCAGAACTAGAAGTAGATATAGTCATCAAAAGGACACCTGCTTCTGCCGCCTGGGCCCCATTTCTGAAAGATTCCACCACCTTCATGACAGCGTGAGAAATCAGAGGTCAAACATTAAGTAGGGATTAAGCATTCTCTAGGGAACATTTCATACACAAACAAGAGCAACCACCAATCTCAATACCAAGAGCGTCCATGTTTTCTGCTGCGCCCCCCCCCCCAGGACTCAACTGTTAAGAACTTGAAAAATATTTGGAAAAATATTTGGAAAAAAAATTGACCCCTTTGATACTACTCCATGGTCCCAAGTCAATGACGTCCTTACCCTATGGCTTATCCACCATATTTCCTCAGGAAAATTAAGCTTACCCAGATAACTGGGCTTCTGGACACTTGTAACCTCTTTCTAAAACAGCAAACTTTTATTTCTATTCCTAGATAAAAATAAAATAGTACTTACTGGTAAAAATAAAATTTTACATCTTTTGTAAAGGTGATTTCAACAGTAGAAATATTTTCCTCTTAGCTTTATGGGGAAATGGTTTGCTCAATTGCAAACACTCGTGTCTCTTTTCTTCCATAGTAAGCAATTTTAGGCTTAGAAAAGACAGTCGGTCCTTAGACTTAGTCAAAGCAAAATCTTGCCTATGCTCTCCCTGATGGGGATCAATCCAACAGTTCCTTGAAAACAGCTTCTACTGGCAATGAACTTATCACCAACAAAACAAGTGAGTTAGCTTAAGAATGCTCTACCAGGCAAGGTGACCTTGCTTATAGAAACCCAGAACTTTTATTTGTGACCGACCCATTCATCATTTTTCTCTTACCCTCTGGCACCACACAGATCAAATCCACTCCCAATTATACACAACAGCTCACTAAGGATTTGGAGATAGTGAAAATCACCAGCTAAAGCCCCAAGAGTTAGCAGTTCCTACAATAAAATGATCAGGAAAGACTTTACCAGCACAAACGGGTGCCCAGCTGTAAGCTGATGACTGTGGCCAATGGAGAATGCAAACTGAGTTCTAATCCAAGGACAGTAGATTCGTGGACCTGGGAGGATCACCATGGGTAAATTCATTGGTGTCTGTGTGAATGAGTGCAGATCCCCAGCACCAGTTGCTGGCAAGTCAACCTCTGGCCTCCACACTCACACACACACACACACACACACACACACACACACACACACACTAGAGATGGTCTGACTGTAGAGTAATAAGGATTTCATTATTTTAGAAAACGATTCTATTTATGATTATATACTTCTCACACCATGTTGGTGATTGCCAATCACCCTTTAGTTTGTTAAAACTACAAAACTTTACTCAAAAACTGCTGTTGGAGATTAAACTTAGACTGGTTGAAGATTCCTAATCTGAAAATCCAAAGAATCAAACGTTCCAGACTCTAACACAGTGGTTCTCAGCCTTCCTAACGCTATGAACCTTTAATATAGTCCCTCATGCTGTAGTGACCCCAACTATAAAATTGTTTTTGTTGCTACCTCATAACTGTAATTTTGTTACAACTATGAATCATAATGTAAATACCCGTGTTTTCTGATGGGCTTCGGCGACCCCTGTGACAGGGTTATTGTACTGCAATGGGTCACGACCCACTGGCTTAGAATAGCTGCTCCAAAGTATGTCTAAACTCAGACAGCATCTGCAGAGAGGTTTTGTTGCTGCAGTACTTCAGGATTCGTATTTTAAGGTTGGGGATACCTAATCAATAAATTCTATCAAAATCAGAAAAAGCTCTGAGATCTGAAACACTTCTTGTTCCAAGGATTTTAGATAAATGATAGCCAACTGTGCCTTTGCAATATACTTTAAACTAGGTGAGCGCCCTAACGTTGTCTCTACGTTCAGACTTCGTGCTTTCCTCCTATCTCCTAGCCCCTGGCCTCTTCCTTTGGTTAGGGCCAGTGGATTAGTCAAGATCCCTCAATCTCTTCACAAGCATCCAGACTTCCAGGAGACTGCGCAAGGCTGAGACCGGCGATCTGCCGTACACACTGCTAAGGGTCATTCAAAATCATATGGATCGTGCAGTTTTTCAACATAAGATAATAAATTCCTTTCCAGTGACACTGGGTTTTCAAGAGACTAAGGTTACTGTAAGATTTGGTATAGAAAGACTGATATCTAGTTAGTTGGCCAGCTGACTAGCTAGTTAGCTAGTTCTGTTTGATTTTGAGATGGAGTCTCAAGTCCAGACTGATCGCAATTTGTTTAATAGTCAAGGAGGACTTTGAATTTCGGTTTCTCCATCTGCCACCCACTGAGTGTTGGTGGTACAGGCATTGTGCCATCATATTAGTTTATATGATGTTAAGGCCTGAACCTAGGGCTGCATGCATGTTAGACAAGCACCTTACCAACTGAGTGTGTCCCAGTCCTAAAGATAGAATTTCGATTAAAAGCAATGTATTTTCAACATTTCCTAATTTCCAACTAAGCTAATCCTACAAGGTAGCTTTTTTTTTTTTTTTACTTGATAGCTGGGAAAGTTCACATGGTTAAGCCAGCTGATTTTTCTGGAGCCAGAAAGCCTGACTTTGAATGCTGCAGCTGCCTCACAGGATACAGCCATGTGGCTGCTGGCAACCTGCTTGACTTTCGCTAGTGGCTAGTGTATCTTTCTGAGACTCAGGAGCATTCAATAGCATGATACATATAAATCATATTACTCAATACCTGGAAAATAATAATGTCTTGGCAAGTATCTCCAGGATTATTACAGCTCAAGACAGAACAAGTGGAGAGGTAGCAGAGGCCATATTTAAAGCAAAGCATGTCTGACCTCAAAGCCAGTATAAATAACACGTAGAGGACACAAAGAATTCATTTTATTGTTTTCCTCCAGCAAGTACAATTTGTCTTCCTGACAATACCATTTCATACAATGAAAGGTAACTGTGGGATTTCAAGAATAATAAAAGGAACAATGCCACTAAAGGCACAGCCCAGTTACCATTTCACGGCAGTCGTTTAAGGAGAAAGTCAGGATAACAAGAAAAGAAGGACACCGGAAGCTATACTGCAGGCAGACAAGTGGTCGCCTAAGGTGATATCTGTGAGTACTGCGTAACACTTTCCTCCAAGGATTGAAATATTCCATCCTGCCGGAAGATCCTTAAGCAGGAAGGTAACAGCCCAAAACAGCTTCAGGAAGTTCCTAAAACTGACCAGATTCACTAGTTCCCTTCATGGCCAGAGTAAATAATAAAAGCTGAGAGTCCCCCTTAGAGGAAATAAAGCTGATCAAGTTGACTTGCAAAGCAGAGTCTCAGGAGGACCTGAGCTCCCAACACTCAGACAAGCTAAGCTGTAAAGGAGACTCTTGAGATGAGACCAAATGCCTAAAAGAAACCAAAACCAGGTGAGTTGCCTGCAAGTGGTTTAGACCAGAGTCACTTGGAAAGGGCACTCTCTTTCCAAGTCCCTGCAGGCTGTGCAGCTTCCTAGTTTTGTGAGCTGTCACTCATGCTGGAGTGGGCTTTGCTGATGCAGCTGTCCCTGAGTCATGTTCACTGACTGAGTCACTGGCAGCTCCTGTCAGTAAGTCATCACCCATGTTCCTGTAAGTAATCCCAGTAAAATTCAGTGGTTCACCAAGTTAGACTTTGCTAGTACTTTGTGATATGTTTTTTCCCAAATAATAAGCAAGCCTAATCAAACCAAATGACAGGCATAACAGACTTATTGAGAACCAAGCAACTCCCTGGTGGGTTTACTGATCTCAGAGAACAAGGCCAGAGAAGTCGCACCCCTGAGCTAAGGCAAGGAGGTTTTATAGCTTTTAGGTAGGCAAGGGGTAATGACGTGCCAACCTGGAGCTGGGATTGTCCCCAGGTATGATCAAAGGCTAAAAGCCCCCAGGCAGGCACTTGAGTGAGCTGGCCATGTCAGGAAGGTGGGTTTCAATGGCTGACAGAAATGTGTAACTGAGTTCTGTGTGCCATTCTTTTCTTCAGCATTTTTAGTGTGAGTGGGGCTGGGGGAGGTGGGGCAGACAGGGATTTCCAGTTGTGCAAGGGTGAACAGGAAGCTCCAACTGAACACTTTGGTCTGTGATGGCTTTTCTATCTGGGGTGAGCAGATGTATATGGTATGTCTTCCCAGGGAAAGCTTTTTCACACAACAGGGAGTCAGCATCTAATCCATTTGCTGTTTACCATTGGCAGGCAAATACTGAAAGACAGTGATAGTGATTAGGGCAGGTTGATCTCCATTTCCTAGGCTCTAGACTGTGCCTTCCTTCTTCATAAGCAAACATAGGAAGCTGTTGGATATCCTTATGTCCTGTTTGCAGACAGCAATAGATTTACTGTGTAAACTAGGAAACACGATTGTCTACCTTATTTTTTTTTTAGTTAATCTTATGTTATAACATAATCAAGAAGGTCTCTAGTAAATGCATGACAACAGAGTGAGTTCCAGGACAGGCTCCAAAGCTACACAGAGAAACCCTGTCTCAAAAAGAAAAAAAAAAGCCCAAGCTGGAGATGCTCTTCACACTGAGCCACACTGTGAAATAAAAGATGGCCATCACTTCTTGTTACAGTGACATGGTCCACATAACCATTAGGGAGCTAAATTACATATACATGTATACATTTTATATATAAAAAAATATATGTTTATATATTGCATGTTGGACACATATCTATTTTGTGTGTGCATGCATGTATATACATACATACAGAGAGAGAGAGAGAGATGAAGTTCTGGCACTTGAGGTGAACATGGGAGCAATCACACCCAACAGGAATATCAGAGAAACCCTCCTCCAGTCACCATCCTCAGAGCAGAGTCCCGATGGCTTCAGCAGAACAGAAGGACGGATGGGTCATGATCTGAAACTTCACCTCTTCTGAGGGCACACAAGCTTCTCTCTGCTGTCTTCGCCGCTTGGAGCAGCTTTGGGACTTGTTATTCTGGACACATCAGAGCTACTGAAAAGAAAGACGGTAGTTTGACCTAACTGACACACTAACAATTGTCACATTTGTATAAGGGAAAAGTCAGTATTGTTAAAATTCCCCTCCTGCATAAAGGATCTAGAGAATCAGTGAGCTTCCTGCTAGAATCCCAGTGCTATTTCTACAAAAAAAAAAATTAGGAAGAAGTCCTATAATTACATAGGAATACAAAGGATTCTGAATAGGTGAAAGAGGGGGACAGAGATACACATAGAGGGAGACAGTGGCACAGAGACAAAGTGAAAATATAAATCTAGAGTCACAACATCTCCAGATTCCAAAACATCTTACAAAGCCATGGGCATTAAGACAAATATGGCCCTAGCATAACGATGGACACCCAGACCAAAGCAAGAAAATAGAGGGAGAAAACGACACACATTTCTTCAACAGACCTTCAACAGTGATGCTGAGAGACAACGTGAAGAAAGGAGTCCCTTCAACAATGCTGTAAGCTGGAACCTTATCTTATTTAACACACAAATTTAACAAGACAGACTGAAGAGCCAAAACTGACGACCTGAAATTGCTAGAAGAAAGCACGGAGGAAATGCTACTGTGGTCCTTGGGGTGACAACAGATGCACACAGCAAGTACAGGAGCTGATAAGTGGGGCTGCCCCAGCCAAGATCCCCTTCTACACCAGAAAGGACCGTATCTACAGAAAACAGCCCACAAAATGAAGGGTCAATCTGCAGACCATCTATCTTGTAAGAGGTTAAAACCCAAATATGTATTTTAAAAATCCTTCAACTCAACGGCAAAAATCAAAGAACTCAAAAATGAGAAAAGAATCACAACGGACTTTGAATAGATACAGATATTTCTAAGAAGTCAAGAAAATGTCCAACAAATATGGAAAAGGTGCCTTCACTACAAGTCATCTAGGAAAAGCAGGTCCAAGCTGCACCTGTACCCATGGGGACAGCTGTTACCAAAACCAGAAAGACAATGAGTGTTGGCAAGGACCTTCCGGGGAAACCCTGTGTTCTGTTTCCTAACTGTGAACATTCTCCTCCTCTCCTTATTCTCTCCTCTCAAGGTATTGTATCCTCGTTGTCTTCAGACACTCATGAACAGGTCTTTAATCTTCCTTTCTAAATCATCTATTCTCCATCTTACCATTGAGTATCTTTATGTACCTGGTTCTAATAAGAGGTTTCTGGCCCTGATTTTGCTTCCAGATGAAAATGGAGTAACCACTGGGAATACATGAATATCTCAACAATATTCAATGTCCATAATCCAAAAATGAACTCATTTCTCTCCTTCCACCCTGAGCCTGCCATCCATTTCGTGTCTCAGGCCAGCATGAAGGCTGGACACTTGAAGGCCATTCATTCTTTGTGCACTCCTCTATTTCATGCATGTGGCTCAGAAAGGACCACTAATTATTCTGCTCAGGATCTCTTCAACGTGTCTACTTAGGTCTGCGGTCAGCAGCACTGTTCCTACCATCCCTTCCTATCTCATGCCTACTCTTCATATAGTTGTGATTCTTTTAAAAACACAGAAATGCCTGCTCCCAACTCTCCAATGAACTTTGTTTCCATTATAACAAAGTCCAAGTCCTTCCCATCAATTATCATATTCTAAATCATGTGACCCCGTTTTATCTCATTATTCTGCCCTTATGCCACTTTTGCTCAAAGACAATATCTCCCAATGATCTTTGTGATGAATGTATCTATGTGTACAGGTACATGTGTACAGGGCCAGAGGAGGACATCAAGTATCCTGGTCTGTCACTTGGCTTGTTCCCTTGAGACAGGATCTCTCCCTGAACTGAACGTCATCTGTGACGCTGGCTGGCCAGAGAGCTCCCGGGAACCACCTGTCTCTGTCTCCTCACCATGTCTATCACTTTTATGTGGATACTGGGGATTCAAGCTCAGGTCCTCACTCTTGCAAGGCAAGTGTTCTTGCCCACTGAGCCATCTTCAAAGCCCCTCTTTTCTTAGTTCTGTGACTAGGGTATTCACTTTCTCTCTTCTGGGTCCCCGAGTCTCCAACCTCTCCCTCTACTGATTTTTGACTGCCAAAGCCCTGGAAGTTGACACTTGCTAATTAGATACTTGCCTAAATATAATTTCCTTTGGGAGGAACAGCTTAAGTTCAAGTAAGATGTTCATTCAGTGTTACCAATTATCCATACTGACACCTCTGCCCCCCATACTCTGAGTGTATGTATGCGCATGGTGCTTCATACATGCTTAGTAAGGGCTCTGCCATTGAGTCATACTTCCAACCTCTCAAACATGTTGATAAAAATTATTTTTATAGCAAGTATATTTAACAAAAGTCCCATTTAATTAGTTAAAAAATTAACTATGCATAGCTTTTGGTTATGGCAATGTTTATAACAGACCTCTAGAACTGAATCATCTGTCACAAGTGAAGCTTTACGCCTACCAAACAGTAAACTCTGACTTCTCCCCATCTCCAGATAACACCATACTTCCTGCATGTGACTGGTTCAAGGGTTTCCATACATGGGTTGGGTCATATTTTTAAATTAATCTCCAAATAGGTGGCAAGTACACACTGCGCAATGGTAGACATCTCTCACAAAGACTACTTTGCTTCTGTATTTACTTGACAGCAACTAAAGGGCATTTTCTACTTCATTCTGCAAGGGGAAAAAAGATAATTCTATGGCTCTGTTGTACTTTCTCTGATTCGCAATGCTGCGACATTACCAGCTGAGAAGATTTTATTATATCTTTTTATATTTCCGCTTGCAGTATAATTCTTACATCCCTAAGTAAAATCCAAACTCATTTCCCACTAAAAGGATATACATATAAATCTGTATGTCGCACAAAGCTCACAAGGAAGTATTAAGTGACTTTAGGAAGAATTATTTGTTCATGGACAGGCTGCAGTAAAAACTGCCAAGTGCGGAAATGGTTTTAGATACAGACACTTTCTCATGCCTAACTGAAACAGCATTACACCATCGTTCCTAAATTAAACTGGTATATGGCGCCTATAACCTGATGACTCTAAGACACTGTATTGAGCTAAAGAGCAGATTAAAAAAGAAAAATCTGCAAAGGTAAATTACTTACCCAGTGTCAGAATAATAAAGACATCAGGTTGGACTTAACCTTTCCTCAGCCGTTTTTCAAACTGAATATTCAAGTTTCAAAACCAATCCAAGACAAACAGATTTCAAACAACCAATCTAAATTACATAGCTGTAAAAAAATTAACAAGTTGCCTGTCAATCACTTTTTCCTTCATTACAGGTAGAACCTGAAAACAACAGCCATCTGCCAGACTCCTTTTTCTGGTATTTGCTCCTGCTGCAAACCATGTGAGCTGTTCTCCCTGGAGACCAAGCTGCACCTGGAAAGCACACCCATCGTTAGATCTGTCTCTAAGCCCAGAATAAAGGTCATACTGGCGCAGCTGAAGTGCTATCCTGGCTAACTCTGGAAGTGTTAGTCAGTCACTAACGTCTCTGCATGTCTAGGAGACTTTAGGAAACCGTCATGGCTAGTTTTATGTCAACTGGACACAACGCAAGTCATCTGAGATGAGGGAACGTCAATTATGAAAATGCCTCCATAAGATCTGGCGTAGGCAAGACTATAGAGCATTTTCTTAATTAGTAATCAATAGGGGAGGTGCCGGCACATTGTGGGTGGTGCCATCCCTAGGTTAGCGGTCCTCTGTATCAGCTCCTGCCTCCAGATTGCTGCCCTGATGAGTTGCTGTCCTGACTCCTTTGATGGTGACTTGTGATGGGGAAGCATAAACCAAGTAAACCTTTCCTCCTCAACTTGCTTTTTGGTCATGGTGTTTCATCACAGCAATGGAAGTCCCAGCTAAGACAAACTCCCTGGGAAATCCCTCAGTAGAAAGGTCAATCATGCTTCTCTCCAGTGCACACTATGAAACACTGGGCCTGAGATTGCGTTCTCTGCCCATTATCCATTTATATCTGTAGAAAAGTTCTGAAGCTGCCTGCCAGCATCATAGAAGAATACATATAGAGGAACATCAGGCAGAAAACAGTATTAGTACAGGAGTTGAGAAGAACCAGTCTGCCCACTTTGTACAGAAATTCTCCAACCATGCCGAACGGGTGCTTCTCTCTTCAAATTCTCACAACACAGAACACCCTATTTTAAAGACAGCGTATTAGGGGCTGGGTGTGGCAGTATGACCTTCAATCCCAACACTGGGAGGCAGAGACAGGCAGATGCCTGGTCCACATAGTGAGTTCTAGGTCAGCCAGAGCTACAAACTAAAACCGATTCTCAAAAGATGAATCAAGTTTTTAAAAACAGTATATTAAGTTTCTCCTTGTGTTAGGAAACCATCATGAGCCAGTTTAAAACCATAAACATTCACCTCCTTGTTTCTCTGTACCAGGAGACAGTGTACTCCACCCGGGATCTCTCAAATCACTTTCAATGAACCTGTCAACCAAGACTGTAGTCATATCATGGCTTCACAGGGGCTGGGGGAGGGGGTGCTCACTTCTAAGCTCACATATGTACTGTTGGGGGAAGTCATGTCTTTGCTAAGTACTGCTCGCCCCACTGAAACACCCACTATCCATTCAGCAGAGCTCTGAGGGAGAACGGGAGACAGCAGGACTGTGGCCAGCCTCACTTAAGCATGCTGTCTCACGGCTCTGTCTATGCTGTAGCAGTGAGCTGCAGTCAAGGCAAGGGAAGTGGAGGGCTAGACTTAAATGTCAGCTCTGAAGCCATCTCCGACGCTGCCCACTGCACCCTCCAATCACGTGAGAGTCTACTCATAGGAGAGCTGCAGTGAAAGAGAGGTCCTGACGTGTCTGCCTTAAGCAAAATGGAATTGATTCTATTTTCTTAAGCTTGAGTGAGAGGCACAGAAGGGACATGAAATTGGTCGGCTAATTCTTAACCTATGACTCCCCTGTTAATCACCAACGACATTTCTGAGGTTTCATGTGGCGTTTATGCCATTGGGGATGGCAT